GGAAAACTTTCCCAGCCAGATCCACGTCGCAGCTGGTGAACGTGCCAGCGGACGGATCCTGAATGTCGGGATAGGGAGATCGGTTGTCATCAATCTGGCTGAAGATGCTGCCGACGTTCTGATATCCAATCCAGAAATCGCAGATGCGGTTCTCCGGACACCGCGCAGGATCTTCGTTCTTGGCAATTCTGCCGGTCAGGCGCGGCTTGTTCTTTTCAGCCGTAGCGGACGCGAGCTGGCGAGTTTCAACCTCCGTGTTGAAAACGACACTTCGGATCTGGCCCGGATCATCAGAAAACTCATTCCAGGCACGAATATCTCTGCAGAGTCGGTGAACGGTAACGTGATCCTGAGCGGGACAGCGAGAAGCACGCTCGAGGCACAGCAGGCTGCTGACATCGCGGCGAAGTTTCAGGGCGCAGGCAGCGCGACGGAAGTTGTCAATCTGATTTCGGTTCAAGGCAAGGACCAGGTCCACTTGAAGGTCACCGTGGCGGAAGTCGAGCGGTCGATTGTCAAGCAGCTCGGCGTAACCTTCAACGGCACCGTGGGCACCGGCAACTACACCCCCCGGTTTTCAAACGCCCCCGGGTTCAATGTGAACCCGTCGATTGTGAACCAGGCGGTCGCAGGCATCACGTTTGCAGCCGGAGCAGCCAATATCAATGCGCAAATCGAAGCGTTGCAGCGCGAAGGTGTCATCCGGACGCTGGCGGAACCCACGCTGACGGCGATCTCGGGTGAAAATGCAAGTTTCCTTGCGGGTGGCGAATTTCCGATCCCGGTTGCTCAGGACGACAACACCGTGAGTGTTGAGTTCAAGAAGTTCGGTGTGGGTCTCGATTTCACGCCTGTGGTCTTGTCGGAAGGACGGATCAGCCTGCGCGTCCTGACAGAGGTCAGCGAACTCAGCAACGAAGGCGCCGTAAGTGCCGGTGGCATCACCATCTCGGCCCTTAAGGTTCGCCGCGCGGAATCAACTGTGGAGTTGCCGTCGGGCGGCACTCTCGTGATGGCCGGATTGCTGCAGGAATCCTATCAGCAGTCGATGGAAGGCATTCCGGGTCTGATGCAGATCCCGGTCCTGGGCGCATTGTTCAAGAGCCGTGACTTTCTGAGGGACCAGACGGAACTGGCAGTATTCGTCACTCCCTACGTTGTTCGCCCCGTGGCGGCAAACAAGATGGTCCGGCCTGACAAGAACCTGTTCCCGCCATCTGACGCGGAAAGCATTTTCCTGAACCGGCTGAACAAGATCTACAACCCTGCGGGCGATGTGGCTGAAGGTGAATACCACGGCCAGGTCGGATTTATCTATAAGTGAGGACGGACGGATGAAGACGAAAAAAACGGTCCGGATATCAACCGTATCCAAATCCGCCCTCGTGATTGCCGGATGCCTCGTTGCGGTTGGTTGCCAGAACAGGAACCAGACAGATGCCGAAATGCTGGCATCGCACGACTATCGCTACAGGCATCCCATTGTCATCACCGAGGAACCGGAAACGCTCGATCTGCCGATCGGTCAGAACACCCGCAACCTGTATGGCCCGATTGAAGGCACGATAACGGCCTTTGCCGCCGAATCGCGCAGAAAGGGCAATGGGGCGGTTGAGATTCTGGTGCCCTCCGGCGGTGCAAACGAGGCTGCTGTTCATGCGGTCACGGGAGATATCAGGAACGCGCTGCAGCGCGGCGGTGTCAGCCGTTCGCGTATCTCTACCCGGACCTATGCCGTGCCGGACCCGAGCGCGGAGGCGCCGATCCGGCTGTCATATGCGGCCATGCAGGCGACCGCCGGACCATGCGGAGCTTGGCCGAAAAATATCGGCGGCGGCATAGGCGAAAACACCGAGTACGAAAACTTCGGCTGCGCAACGCAGTCCAACCTGGCGGCAATGGTCGACAACCCGTCCGATCTCATCACGCCAAGGGCATCTACGCCGTCCGATCAGGGACGGCGCGCCGTGGTTATTGAAAACTACCGAGAGGGTTCGGGAACCACGAGTAGCTACACTGAAGGTGTCGGTGCAGAGGTCTCAGAATAGGTGGAAGTATGAGCACGAACGCAGAATTGAAAGATACGCCGGGCTATCTCGATCCTATCTCGGAACCTGTTGAAAATCAGTATGCAGGGACCGAGGAAGCGGCGAAAATTGGTTCGGTACCTCGTATCACGGTGCATGGCTTCTGCCTGACAGATGCGACAATGCACATGGCCGAGACCGCCATGGAAGATCGCCGCATGGCGAAGGCGCATCTGAAGCTGGACATGGGTGGAATACCTGCGGCGATCGACATTTTCGCGCAGGCGCCGACACCGAACCTGATCATTGTGGAAACCAACGGGCAGAGGGAGGAACTTCTTTCCAACCTCGACCAGCTCGCCGAGTATTGCGATGCCGGTACCAAGGTGATCGTGATCGGAAATGTGAACGATGTTCTTCTCTACCGGGACCTGATCGCTCGCGGGGTCAGTGAATATCTGATCACTCCGGTCAATGTCTATCAGTTGATCGGCTCCATTGCCGAGCTGTATGCCGATCCGGAATCCGAACCGCTCGGCCGCACCACTGCCTTTTTTGGTGTCAAGGGAGGTTGCGGGTCTTCCACCGTTGCACATAACAGTGCCTGGGCGCTCGGACGCAACTTTCAGAGCGAAGTGGTCGTAACCGATCTGGATCTGCCGTTCGGAACGGCAGGACTCGACTACAATCAGGATCCGTTGCAAGGCGTTTTCGAGGCGATTTCGTCTCCGGACCGGCTCGATGAAACCTATCTCGACCGGATCCTTTCCAAGTGCAACGATCACCTGAGCCTGCTGGCGGCACCGGCAACCCTGGAGCGAACCTACGACCACAGTGAAAAGTCGTTCGAGCAGCTTTTTGAGACCATGCGCTCAAGCGTCCCGAACGTTGTTCTCGACGTTCCACACACATGGAACTCCTGGGTCAAGAACACGTTGTTGAACGTCGATGAGATCGTTCTGGTGGCCGAGCCGGATCTGGCCAACCTGCGCAACGCGAAAAATGCCGTGGACATGCTCAAGCAGCTACGTCCAAATGATCGCCCGCCCCATCTTGTCATGAACAAGGTCAACGTGCCCAAACGGCCGGAAATCAAGCCGGAAGAGTTTGCGGCAGCGCTCGGGTTGACTGTTCAGGCATCGATCCCGTTCGAGCCCCATCTTTTCGGAACGGCGGCAAACAACGGGCAAATGATTAGTGAAATGGACGGAAAACATGCCGTATCGCGCATGTTCGACGATCTGGCCAATGCGATTTCGGGCAAGGTGCAACCGGTCAAGATATCGCGGTCTCCTTTGGGCGGCTTCTTTACAAAACTGAAACGCAAGTCCGGTTGACTGGTTCGTAAGCGGAGCTGATAGATCGCTATGTTTGGAAGACGCGGTAACTCATCGTCTGGAGCTCAAAGCTCCCATCAGGGGGGCGTTCCCGGAGGCCTGCAGGAACGGCCTGCAGAACCTGAAGCTCCGGTCCAGACCGTAGAGCAGGAAGCGCCACCTAAATCGGTGGAGAGCGAGAAACCGGCGGCTGCACCGGCTGCACCGGCCGCTACATCTGCGCCGGCTCCAGCACCGGAAGCACCGGCGACGGCACCTGCACCACGAAAGAAAAACAACGAGTATTACGAGACAAAGGCTCAGATCTTTAACGCACTTGTTGAAGCGATCGATCTGTCTCAGCTTGCGCGTCTCGACGCGGAAGACGCACGCGACGAAATTCGCGATGTTGTCAACGATATCATCGCGCTGAAAAACGTCATCATGTCAATCGCCGAGCAGGAAGACCTGCTTGAGGACATTTGTAACGACGTACTCGGATACGGGCCGCTGGAACCGCTGCTGGCGCGCGACGACATCGCCGACATCATGGTCAACGGTGCGCACACCGTCTATATCGAGACTGCCGGCAAGGTCGAACAGACCGGTGTGAATTTCCGCGACAATGCTCAGCTGATGAACATCTGCCAGCGCATCGTGAGCCAGGTTGGCCGCCGTGTCGATGACGCCAGCCCGATCTGTGACGCCCGTCTTCCCGATGGTTCGCGTGTCAACGTGATCGCACCGCCTCTTGCGATCGACGGACCCGCGCTCACAATTCGTAAGTTCAAAAAGGACAAGCTGACGCTCGATCAGCTCACAAAGTTCAACTCGATCACGCCGGAGGGGGCGACCATCCTGCAGATTATCGGCCGTTCGCGCTGTAACGTGCTGATCTCTGGCGGTACCGGTTCGGGTAAAACCACGCTTTTGAACTGCCTGACTGCCTATATTGAATCGACCGAACGTATCATCACCTGCGAAGACTCGGCTGAACTTCAGTTGCAGCAGCCTCATGTCGTTCGTCTGGAGACGCGTCCTCCCAACCTGGAAGGTCAGGGGGAGATTACGATGCGTGACCTCGTCAAGAACTGTCTGCGTATGCGCCCTGAGCGGATTATCGTGGGCGAGGTGCGTGGCCCGGAAGCCTTCGATCTGCTTCAGGCCATGAACACGGGTCACGACGGATCGATGGGAACACTTCACGCCAACTCGCCACGGGAAGCCCTGTCCAGACTTGAATCGATGATCACCATGGGCGGCTTCTCACTGCCGTCCAGGACACTCCGGGAAATGATCGTGTCGTCAATCGACGTGGTTGTGCAGGCGGCGCGTCTTCGCGACGGTTCGCGCCGCATCACGCACGTGACCGAAGTCATCGGGATGGAGGGTGACATCATCACGACGCAGGATGTCTTCCTCTATGACATTGTCGGCGAAGATCCCAATGGCCGGATCATCGGTCGTCACCGCTCGACCGGGATCGGCCGGCCGAAATTCTGGGAGCGTGCGCGCTACTTTGGTGAAGAGTCGCGTCTTGCTCAGGCGCTCGATGCCGCCGAAGTGCCCGACTATGTAGGGGAATAAGAAGCGGATGTCCGGTTTAGAAGAATTCCTAACTCCACAGGTGACGGGTATTGCCGTTGCCGGCCTGGTCATGCTTGCGGTCGCAGGCGTGATTTTCAGTCTTTTCGCGCCGAGCCTGTCCGGAACGAAACGCCGGGACCAGCGAATGCAGGCTGTTGCCGCGCGTCCGCAAACAGAGAAGCAACGCAAACTGATACGTGACGACGACCGGCGCAAGAAGTCCATTCAGGATCAGCTCAAGGATTTTGAGGAACGGCAGAAGGCCAAGCACGACAGGCAGCAGAAAGTCCCGCTCAAAGTCAAGATGGAGCAGGCCGGCCTGGGTTGGGAAATGAAGCATTTCGTCATTTTCAGCATTGTATCCTGCCTGATTTTTCTCGTGATCGGTTTCCTTGCAAGCGGAAACATCTGGATTACCTTTGCCGCCGGTTTCGCCGGTGCGCTTGGTTTTCCGCGCTGGTATGTCGGCAACAAGCGTAAGCGCCGTTTCAACAGGTTCCTGGAGGAACTGCCGAACGGGGTGGACATCATCGTGCGCGGTGTGAAGGCAGGTTTGCCGCTCGGCGATTGCATCAAGGTGGTTGCCCGTGAATCCCGCGAACCCGTGGCAACCGAATTCCGGAAAATCACCGAGACCCAGATTATGGGTGTATCGCTGGCGGAAGCCGTCGCAAAAATGCCGGAACGTGTGCCTTTGGCGGAAGCGAATTTCTTCGCGATCGTTGTCGCCATTCAGCAAAAGGCCGGTGGCGGCCTGGCCGAAGCACTTGGAAACCTGTCGAAGGTATTGCGCGGCCGCAAGGCACTGAAGGGCAAGATCAAGGCACTGAGTTCGGAAGCAAAATCCTCTGCCATGATCATCGGTGCCATGCCGTTCGGTGTCGGAGGCATCATCTTCCTGATCGCGCCCGACTACATCATGATGCTGTTCAATACCACGGCCGGCAACATCATTATCGCTGGTTGTCTGTTCTGGATGTTCATCGGCGTGATGGTCATGCGCCACATGATCAACTTCGACTTCTAGGGGGGCGGCATGGATCTCGAAACCATCGCATCGAGTCAATTTCTGGCAGGTCTGCTCGCAATGATCGCGGTGACCGGAACGATCTTTTCGCTCGTTGCGCCGATCCTGTCCCGCGATGTGCTGAAGTCACGCATGAAAACAGTCGCGATTGAACGCGACAAGCTTCGTGCCAAGGAGCGGGCGCGTCTTCAGTCGAACCCGCAGGATGCCCGCGCATCCCTCAGGAACCAGCCGAAAGCCCAGATGAAGAGCCTGGTCGACCGGCTCAACCTGAAGGAAATGCTCTCCGACGAGCACACGATGGATAAGTTGAGAATGGCCGGGTATCGTGGCTCTGCACCGCTCTACTACTTCCTGACTGCGCGTATCGCACTGCCGGCCATCATTCTGGTGATTGCCCTTTTCTATGCCTTCGTCGTCATACCGGATTTGTTGCCGACTGTTGCCAAGGTATGCCTTAGTATCGCGATTGCCGGCATCGGGGCCTTCCTTCCCAATCTGTTTTTGAAAAACAAGATCGACAAACGCAAACTCAACATTCAGCGTGCCTGGCCGGATGCATTGGATTTGATGCTGATCTGTGTTGAATCGGGCATGTCCATTGAAGGTGCGTTCCAGAAAGTCGCCGAAGAAGTCGGCGTTCAGTCCGTGGACCTCGCCGAGGAACTGTCCTTGACGACTGCGGAGCTCTCCTATTTGAGCGAACGGCGCGGCGCTTATGAAAACCTGGCCAAGCGCACCGGCGTCGATGGCGTGAAGAACGTCATGATGGCACTCATTCAGGCGGAACGCTACGGTACACCGGTTGGAACCGCGATCCGTACGATGGCGGACGACACGCGCGAGCAGCGCATGTTGTTTGCCGAGCAGAAGGCTGCATCGCTTCCGCCCAAACTCACCGTACCCATGATCCTGTTCTTCCTGCCGGTTCTGTTTTTCATCATCATGAGCCCTGCCGTCATGCAGGTTATGGAACTCGACAGTTTCTGAGGCAATCGCCGGCGAAAACGGCGAATGGCCGGAAGTCTGACCGAACAACAAGAAAGCCCCCTTCGATCGTTTCGGATCGAAGGGGGCTTTTTCATTGATTGGCAAGGGCTGCAGCGGCCATCATGAGGCTTGCAAGCTGGCGTTGGGTGGCGACAACATCGGTTCGTGGGAGTTTGCAAAAGAAGGAACCAGGCATGATCGAGGCCCCTCCACTTCTAACCGTCAAGGCTTCAATGAAACGGCCGACAGAAGCCCAGACCGCTTCCTTTCAGGGGGTGCCGACAGGGTTTGTCGTCGACGCTCTTTATGGCGGCGGTGCATTGTCGCAGAATATTGGCCCACTCGGCGATGGTCGGGATGTGCACTGCGTGGCGGCTGGACCGGCGCTTACCGCGGATTGCGGTGCGGCCGACGTCCTTGCTGTCTTCGCCGCACTGAAATTCATTCAGCCCGGTGATATCGTCGTTTCGTCGTTTGCCAATCACTCCGGCTGTGCAGCCGGCGGAGACGGCTTGGTCGGCATGATGAAGAATTGTGGCGCAGCAGGGTTCGTTACCGATGGGCCGATGCGTGATTATTCCGGAATGGTTCGGGTAGGATTGCCGGTCTGGTGCACCGGCATAACGCCTGCGTCACCGCATATGTCAGGTCCCGGCTCCGTCGGGTATCCGATACAGATCGGTGCACAGGAAGTCGAAACCGGTGACATGATCGTGGCCGATCAGGACGGGGTTGTTGTTGTCCCGTTCGAACGCCTCGACGAAGTCATCTCGAACCTTGAAAGCATACGTGTCTCGGAGCAGACCCAGGATGCCAGGGTCGCAGCAGGAATGCGCATGCCTGAGTGGGTGGAGGAACTGCTGGAAAGCGACCGGGTCGTCGTCAGGGATTGACGCTGCCCGCTGACCGACCGATGGGCGTTCGCGGCGTGGGGACAGACCTGGTCTGTCCGCAAAGTGCTCGTTTTGCTCCCGCCATGGATCCCTTCCAGGCAAAGCAGGGAGGGGGATGATTCAGCCCTGGCTTCAGCCGCGCTGACGGGTCTGCATCATGTCGCGCAGGTATGCGATGTTCGCTTGTGCCTGTCGAGGGTCCAATTCCGCAGTGGCAACTTCGACCGCTTCCTCGAATTTACCCTGTACGCCAAGTACAAGGGCAAGATTCTGGCGAACACGACTGTCTGCATTCGGCAGGCTGGCGGCGCGTCGCAAATTGTATTCTGCGTCCGGAAGCTTGTTGGACAACAGGTAGGACAGCCCGAGATTGTTGAGAAGGCTGGGGTCGTCCGGAGCAATCTTGAGAGCCTGCTTGTAAAGACTGCGAGCCTTCTCGTGGTTGCCGGTCTGATCATAGATAGCCGCTTCGGCCGACATGATTTTCCAGTCCGGCATATCCGGCCGCTGCGCCCGCCTGAGGACATTGAGGGCTTCGTCGAAGCGCCCGTTCATGGCCAGTATCTTGCCATAGGCGGATGCAATTTCGCGATCTTTCTGATGGGCAATCACACCGGACCTGAGAACGGCCAGGGATTGTTCGATCTGGCCATTCTGGCTCAAGGCGTTGGAATATCCGAGGATCGCCGTCCGATTGCTGCGGTCCTTGTCGTATCTCTTTGCCCATTTGCCGACTTCCGCCCGCGCCAGATTTGAACCGGGGGAAACCGAGTGGCTGCCGGAGGCAGGAGAGTAGGTCCCGGTGTTGGACTTGTTGGAGGCGCATCCGGTTACCAGGACAAGGGCCGTCATGGCAACAAGCGCAGAGGCCACTCTGGTGCGGCGTGATACGGATCCGATTCTGGGCGCTTGCATTTTCAACATCCTTGTTGTCCGCAGCAGTAAAGGTCTCCTAGAGAAATAGATAATTAACCCTAATGGATGGTTAAGCACCGTTGCGAATTGCAAGATTTGCAGAAGCTCAGCACATCGTATTGCGTCTTCCGGCAAGGCGGCTTACCTGTTGAACCACATTGTTCCAGTCAACGGAGTGCTGCCTGTGCGCGAAATCCTCGTCCGCAATACCGATTTGTCCGAAGCAACCCCCATTCTCGCTGTCACGGAAGCCTCGCTTGCCGAAGTTCTCGCCGGGCTCGGGCAGAGTGCCGGGAATTGGTGCGCCGTCAACGATTTCAGCGGCAAGCCCTCCTCGTGTTTGCTGATCCCGTCTGCAGAGGGAAGCGGAGCGACAGTTCTTTTCGGTGTGGAGGAGACGGGATTGCCGCATCCCTTTGCCCTTGGGGGCATTGTCGGCAGCCTGCCGAAAGGCGACTATAGCCTCGCAGACGGCTTTCCAGATCCGGAGCAGGCAGCACTCGGGTTTGCGCTGTCGGCCTACCGTTACGAACAGTATGTTACTCCTTCCCGGAAGATCCGCAGGCTCGGCGTTGGCAAGGACGTCGACCTCGACAGGATCGGCATTGTCCTAGATGGCGTGAAACTGGCACGGGATCTCATCAACACCCCGGCAAACGATCTGGGTCCTGAGGAACTGGCTGCTGCTGTCGCGGCGCTTTTCGACAAGCATGGCGGAGCCGGGCGTGTGGTTGTTGGTGAAGACCTTCTCGACGAGAATTTCCCGATGGTGCACGCGGTTGGGCGCGCAAGTTCCAGAGCACCCCGCATCGCTGATTTTACCTGGGGAGAGGCGTCAAATCCCAAAGTTACCCTGGTCGGCAAGGGTGTCATCTTTGATACAGGCGGTCTGAACCTGAAGCCGGGGTCTTCCATGTCGTTGATGAAAAAGGACATGGGCGGCTCAGCCAATGTTCTTGGCCTGGCCTCGATGATTATGGCGGCAAAACTGCCCGTTCGACTTCGGGTCATCGTTCCGTGTGTTGAAAATGCGGTCTCCGGGAATGCCTTCCGGCCGGGCGATATTCTCTCAAGCCGCAAGGGTTTGAGCGTGGAAATCGGCAATACAGATGCCGAAGGCCGTCTGATTCTGGGAGATGCGCTTGCATTGGCGGACGAGGAAAGTCCGGATCTGCTGATCGATATGGCAACCCTGACCGGAGCAGCGCGCGTCGCGCTTGGTCCGGATCTGCCGCCGTATTACACACATGACGAAGGTCTTGCCGAAGACATTGCCGTCATGGCGGAAGCCGCGGCCGATCCCTTGTGGCGTTTGCCGCTCTGGCAGCCATACATGAAGTATCTCGACAGCAAGGTCGCCGATATCAATCACATCAACACCTCAGGCGCGGGATTTGCCGGCTCGATCACGGCAGCCCTGTTCCTGTCCCGGTTTGTTGAAAACACGGAGAGCTGGATCCATTTCGATATATTCGGCTGGACACCGGCTGATAAACCGGGGAAACCCGCCGGTGGCGAAGCACAAGGTATCCGCTGCCTGTTTGACCTGATATCCGAACGCTATTCGTCAGCACAATAACGGGTCCGAAACGTTTTTGTGCTTTTATGGCCATGAAGAATGGGTGAGACGGGCTCTGTCATGGCGGTCGACATACGCGCCTCTCAGGCGTTGAAATTGTTGCATGAAGTCAATCTGGCGCTGGTGCGCGACAGTGAACAGGACCTGTCTGCGCGCCAGTTGACGATCCTGCTCACGGTTTATCTGGAGCCTCCACCTCACACGGTGCGCGGTCTCGCCGCGAAACTGAATGTCACAAAACCGGCCATCACGAGAGCGCTCGATACGCTCGGCAGCCTCCGGCTTCTGTCGCGCAAACGCGATGAGGCCGACAAGCGCAACGTGATCATAACCCGAACAGTCGTCGGTGCTCTTTATCTGGAGCAATTGGGCGATCTCGTGGTAGAGAAAGCCAAGGAACTGCCGCGCTAATTGTGCACCAAACCTGGATATGAAAATCTGACATGACGACTTCTTTCGACCGCCGCCTCCATCCTGTCCGACCCGATCTTGCCGCTCGCGACTATGAAGGAAAAGTTGAAACGGGCCGTTTTGTCGATGGCGAAGTGTTTCAGGTGACCGCTGACAGTCTTGCCATCCGGCCGGATCCACGGCCGGACTGTCCCATCGACACCGAAGCCTTGTGCGGGGAGTGGATCACCGTTTACGAGAAGACGGCTGAGGGATGGGCCTGGGGCCAACTCGACACGGACGGCTATGTCGGCTGGTTTTCGTCTGATGGGCTAGGGTCCGTAACGGCGGCAACACATCGGGTGAGGGCGCTGAGGACCTATCGCTATCCCGGTCCCGATCTGAAATTTCCGCCGCGTGGTCTTCTCTCCATGGGGGCTCAGGTGACGGTTGTCGGCGAAACAGAAACGCGCGGCCTCAACTATGCAATTCTCAATGACGGCTCTTCTGTCGTCGCCAAGCATCTGGTTTCTCTGGACGACTATGACGCGGACTGGGTCGCCGTGGCGGAGGAAATGCTCGGCACACCCTATCTCTGGGGCGGTCGCACAACTGTCGGCCTGGATTGTTCCGCACTGATCCAGTTGGCCGGACAGGCCAGTGGTCTCGACATACTGCGTGACAGCGATATGCAGGAAGCCGAGGCCGGACACGAGATCCCGCATGATGATCCGTCAGCGTTACAGCGGGGCGACCTTGTGTTCTGGAAAGGACATGTGGCGATCGTTACCGGCCCGAACAGGTTGCTCCATGCCAACGGTTTCACGATGACGGTTGCCTATGAAGATCTCGACCGGGCGATATCACGGATCGCCGCAACGGAGTGGGGAGCTGTGACGAAGGCACGAAGGCTCCAGAGAAGGTCAGAGTGACCGGACCATGTTCTGCCACAGGGTTTCGATGTCTTTTTCTACGGGTTTGCCGGCCCTGCGAAACCAGTAGCCTGCGTTGCCATGATCACCCTCGATGAGGTGGCAAAGCGCATGTATCCAGTCATGGGCCGGTTCGCCCTCTGCACTTTGACAGATTTCATGTGCGGCCTCCCATTCCGGTCCGATGGCCAATCCTCCCTTTTTCAGCCACCAGAGCGCAGCCATGGGCCTGGAAAGGTCATCGGACGGTTCGGCGGTTGAGACATCCATGAGTGTGTTTTCGGACATTGAGACACCTGATTTCAGATTGAGGGCAGCCTTTCGGCTTTGTCTTGGTAGCGAAGGAACGTGAGCCTCCGGTTTTTCGGGGCGTGCTCTAGGAATCCGGTGTAATTGCCAGGCGCGGCTCATCAGGTTCCTGCGTCTCCTTGGCGGCTTCGATTTCACCAAGCTCAAGATCCTCGATCTTGCGGCTGCGCTTGGTAATCTTGTCGGTGGAGATCAGGATTTGGTCAATGTCCTTGTTTGCCTGGGCAAAATGGGACTGAAGCTTGCCGACACGGTCATTGAGGCGGCTGACATCCGCAATCAGATGGCCGACTTCCGCCTGGATCAGGTGTGCCTGCTCTCGCATCTTGGCGTCTCGCAGCACGGACTGAATGACCTGAATCGAGAGCATCAGGAGAGAAGGTGACACGATCACCACGCGGGTTCGGTGTGCCTTTTGAACCAGGTCCTCGAAGCGCTCGTTGAGTTCTGCAAACACGCTTTCTGAAGGGACGAACAGGAAGGCGGTGTCCTGGGTTTCTCCAGGCAGGAGATACTTCTCGCCGATATCCTGGATATGCTTGGAAAAATCCCGGCGGAACTGTGCCTGAGCGTATTTCAGCTGCTCCTCTGTCTCCGCCTTGCGCAGGAGGTTGAACCCTTCCAGCGGAAACTTGGCGTCGATCGCAAGGGAAGGTGCGCCGTTCGGCATATGGATAAGGCAGTCGGGCCGGTTGTTGTTCGAGAGTGTCGCCTGGAACGAATAGGTGCTTGGGGCCATCTGATCCTGGATGATGGCTTCCATCCGGCCCTGTCCGAAGGCGCCGCGCGTTTGCTTGTTCGAAAGAATCGACTGCAATTGACCTACCTGGCCGGAAAGGTCGGTGATCGTCTGCTGAGCCCGGTCGATCACCGCGAGGCGTTCGTGAAGGTGCCTGAGACCGTCCTGGGTTTTCTTCGTCGTGTCGGCCATCGAGATGCCGAGTTTGTGCCCCATCCCGTCGAGGCGCTCGTTGACTGCGCGCATCATGTCCGATTGGCGCGAACCGAACACTTCGGCCATCGTTTGCATGCGTCCCGTCATCTCGCCCTGAGACTTGAGAAGTTGCGAGAGGTGGCTCTCAAGCTCGTGTATCTGTTCCGTCGCGGCGCTGTCGGCATCCGCCCGCTGGCGGATCTGGCGCATGGTCTTCAGGACCAGCCAGACGATCAGCGTCAGCAGGAACAGTCCGCCTGCAATGGCGGTTTCCAGAACCGTCACCGGACGGCCACTAAACTCAAACAGGATCTCGTTCATGAAACAAACATAGAACGATTCGGCCTGAAGGCACATCCGCAACGCAATTCTGATGCGTTCAAAACGCAGGCGAACCCGTTGATTTCCGCGTTGACCACTGCCGTTTGATTGCCTATGTCAGACGCATGACTAAACGCTCGATTGTTACGATTCCCGACCCGGTTCTCCGCGAAGTCTGTGCGCCCGTCGATACGGTTGACGACGACATCCGCGCCCTGTCCGACGATATGCTTGAAACCATGTATGACGCGCCGGGCATCGGCCTCGCCGCCAGTCAGATCGGCATCCTGAAGCGCATGTTCGTGCTTGATGTCGCCAAGGAAGATGCGCCGAAGGAGCCGATGGTTTTCATCAACCCGAAAATTGTCTGGTCGAGCGAGGATTCGTCCGTCTATCAGGAAGGCTGCCTGTCGATCCCTGAATATTTCGAGGATGTCGAGCGTCCGGCAGAAGTGATGGTGCAGTTTCTGGATCGCGAGGGCGCCGAGAAGGAAATCAGGGCGAACGGCTTGCTGGCTACCTGTGTTCAGCATGAGCTTGACCATCTCGACGGGAAATTGTTCATAGACTACCTGTCGAAGCTGAAGCGGGATCGGGTGATCAAGAAGTTCACGAAGCAGGCAAAACTGGCCGGCAAGGACTGAACGGGACAAGGGAGATTGCCCAGTGGATCAGGAACTGTTCCTGAAAACATTCGCCGCGCTCTTTGCGATCATGAGTCCGATCGCCAACCTGCCGGTATTCCTGGCGCTGACATCGGACCGCGGACCTGCGTTTGAACGCAAGGTGGCCTTTACGCTTCTGATCAGCCTGACGGCCGGATCTGTCGTGATCGGCCTGAGCGGCGACATCATATTGAAGGTTTTCGGCATCAGTCTTGATGCCTTTCGACTTGCAGGCGGTTTCCTGATTCTTCTGATTGCACTCGACCTCATTTCCGGGCAGAGCACCAAAGCCCACCACGGTTCGTCGAAGGAAAAGGAAAACATGAAGTCGCAGGACAATCCGGCGATCTACCCTTTGACAGTGCCTGTGCTTCTTGGGCCCGGTTCGATTTCGACAATGATCATTTTCCGCGGGCAAGTGCACAATACCAGCCAGGAAATAGCCTATGTCGCTGCCGTTGCCGCGGCCATCGCGCTCCTGATCGCAACATTCTTCGCCGCCCCATTCCTGTCACGCTTTCTCGGTGAGACCGCAAACAGCGTCATGAGTCGTTTGATGGGCATGATCCTGGCTGCAATCGCCATGGAAATGATGACGGGCAGCCTCAAGGTCCTGCTTCCCGGCCTGGCCTGACAGGGCGCGTTTGCGAACATATCGACATCCTGCGAGCGCGTGTCCGCACAATCTCGATGGATCGGCGGCTCACCTGGAAACCATTGGCCAGTCGTTCGCAACAAGAGCAATCCCGCATCACGGGTTGAAGAGGAACGAGCGTTCAGCGCGTTGGACTATCGAAGGCGTGCGATGCCATATCCAGGCGACAGGACATCTGTACACTTGCCCGGACCGGCGTAAGGCGTAATAAGGGGCAAACTTTCGAAGAACCCTCAGGAACCTCATGTCTCTTCGCGTCGTCTTTATGGGCACTCCGGAATTTTCCGTGCCGACCTTCATGGAAATCGTTGGACAGGGGCACGATGTGGTCGCCTGCTATTCACAGCCACCCAGGCCGGCCGGAAGAGGCATGGATCTGAAGAAGTCTCCCGTACATGAGGCGGCTGAATCATTCGGTATCCCTGTTTTTACCCCCAAGAGCCTGAAGGACACCGCCGAGCAAACCCGGTTTGTTGATTTTGAAGCGGATGTCGCGGTTGTTGTCGCTTACGGACTGTTGCTGCCGGGGCCTGTGCTCGACGCGCCACAATTCGGTTGCCTGAACCTTCATGCCTCGATGCTGCCGCGCTGGCGAGGGGCCGCGCCGATCAACCGGGCGATCATGGCGGGGGACAAGGAAACTGCCGTTCAGGTCATGCGTATGGAAGAAGGGCTCGACACCGGCCCGGTCTGCATGTCGGAGACTGTTGCGATCGACAAGAACATGACCGCGGGGGAATTGCATGATCGGCTTTCCGGTCTTGGAAGTGACTTGATGGTCCGCGCGCTGGCAGCCCTGTCACGCGGTGCGCTGGGCGAGCAATCCCAGGCTGAAGAAGGCGTCACCTATGCGGCCAAGCTGTCCAAGCTGGAAACGCGTATCGACTGGTCGAAATCGGCTGAAGAGGTTCACAATCACATTCGCGGACTGTCACCCTTTCCAGGGGCCTGGTGCGAAATGCCTCTGGGCAGCAAACCTGAAAGAGTCAAGGTCCTGCGAAGCTCGGTTGCCGATACCGGCGGGAAACCGGGGACTGTCCTTTCGACAACTGATGTTCCGGCTGTCGCATGCGGGGCGGGTGCCGTGCGCCTGGAACAGGTTCAGCGGGCCGGCAAGAAACCGATGAGCGGTGAGGAATTCCTGCGGGGCGTATCTCTTTCTGATGGCACGCAACTGGATTAAGCTCAGGTAGCTGGAGAAAATCATGAACGACGCAGTCGGGACACTCAATCTGACAATTCGCGATGTTGTGCGCGAAGACGAGGCCGTTGTTCGCAAATTGCTGATGGCCGCCTTTCCCTCTGATATCGAAGCGCGACTTGTCCACAAACTGCGCCATTGCGGCGCACTCGTTCTGGAGCAGGTGGCCGTACAGGAAACCGGAGATGTTGTCGGCCATGTCGCTTACAGCCGGGTGACGCCCGCAGCAATCGGTTCCGGCCAGGGTCTTCAGGTCTGCTGTCTGGCACCGGTATCCGTTCGACCGGAAAATCAGCACACAGGCGTCGGTTCTGCGTTGATTACGGCATCTCTTCAGACACTGAAGAACCTTGGCGAAGATCTCGTCCTGGTCCTCGGACCGCCGACATATTACCCGCGTTTCGGCTTTGATCCGGTTCTGGCTCGCAAGGTTCAGGCGCCCTACGCGGGCGATGCCTTCATGGCGCTTGCGCTGACTGCTGCCGGCACCGATGATCTGCCTATTGAAGTGGCCTTTGCCACGCCGTTTGAAGAATTCGAATAATGCCGCGTTACAAGCTGACAGTGGAATATGACGGTCGGCCATTCTGCGGCTGGCAGCGACAGGCCAACGGGCCGTCTGTGCAGGCGGTGATAGAACGGGCGGTCCAGGCATTTACTGGAGAAGTCGTAACGATCGGCGGCGCCGGGCGCACCGATACCGGTGTCCATGCGACCGGGCAGGTGTGTCACATTGATCTGGTAAAACCCTGGCCGGTCAGGACCATTATGGGGGCAATGAACTTTCACTGCCAGCCGGACCCGGTGGTTATCCTTGATTGCACCGAAATGCATGAGGGTTTCGACGCCCGTTTTTCAGCAATCCGCCGCTCTTACCGTTACCGCATTCACAACCGCGTGCCGCCGCTGACCCATCAGCGCGGTCTTGCATGGCATGTGAAACCGGATCTCGACGCCGACGCGATGCATGAGGCCGCCCAGGAATTTGTCGGGCATCATGACTTCACGACGTTCCGCCACTCCCGTTGCCAGGCCAGGAGCCCGGAAAAAACGCTTGAAGAATTCCGCGTTTACCGGGAGAGGGAACTTGTCATCGCCGAATGTTCGTCCCGTTCGTTCCTGCACAACCAGGTTCGCTCGATGGTCGGTACGCTGAGGCTGGTGGGAGAAGGCAAATGGGGGACGGGAGATATCACCAGGGCGCTCCAGGCCCGGGACCGTAACGCCTGCGGCCCGGTCGCCCCTGCGGACGGCCTCTATCTTACCCGCGTGGATTACCGTTCGGCGGAGATGGACATCGAACTCCTGCGGGACTGGCAGGCGCGCAAGGCTTTACTGGAAGGTGAGGGCGCCAGTGAGGCGTAAGGTCGGGACGGCGCCTTGTCAAAACATGACCTGGTTGCCTCTTCCGCGGGGAAATTGAACCTGCCGTCGATCAGGTTCACTCAAGTGCCTGGCTGAATTCTCGCGTGCAATCGCTATCCCCCTGTGATGCCTCCCAGTATGTCGCCGAGATTTGCCAATATGTAGCCGATGATGATCACGCCGGCGATGATCATGACCGTCCAGACGAACAATTGAAAACCGATCGCCAGGCCACCCAAACCGACGGCAGCGGCGACCACCCGTCTGTTTTCCCGCATGACGAAACCGATGACGCCGAGAACGATTGCAATCCCGGCAAGCACATAGGCACATGTTTGCAGAATGCGATCCAGACCCCAGACCTGTGCCTGGGGTTCCGGTTGCGGCTCACCTTTAAGGCCACGCAGAGCGGACTCACGGATGTCTGCCGCAATTTCCCCGATTGACTGCCCGATGGTTGGCTGGGGATCGATCGGACCGGCGCTGTGCAGAAAAAGCGCCAGAACCAGCGCGACGGCACCGAACACTATACCGGCAAGACCGGACCACGATTTCCTGTCGATTGATGCTTCGCGCATGAATCGTCCTCCGTGATGATGAAACCACGGCCGCAGAGTGCCACGTTCCGCCTAAGCTTGTCTTCACGGCAGGTGCCTGGATTTGTCATGCATCGAAAGCTTCCGTTAAGCCGATGTCACTTGACTATTGTCCTGCGGGATCACCACGCACTTCTTGTAGAGATGCCAGGTCGTGTGACCGAGTACCGGCAATACGACGATCAGACCGAGAAACGCAGGGACCATCGAAACAATCAAAAGTGCGGTTACGACAAAGGCCCAGCCGATCATTGGAACCGGTGAGGTAACGACAGCGCGTACGCTGGTGATCATCGCGGTGATGAAGTCCCGGTCTTCTTCCAGAAGCAGCGGAAAGGAGACAACCGTCAGCGAGAAGAGCAACAACGAGAGAATCGCACCGACTACGTGTCCCACAGCCAGGAACATCAATCCTTCGGGGGTTGAGATAACCTGTGTCAGGAATTCGTCGAACGATGCAAACGACTTGAACCCGAGGAAAAGCGCGAGCAACAGCCGGACCTGATACATCCACATGATCTGGATGAACAGTACGACGAAGGCCATCCAGGAAAGTTCGCGGCCCTTCTGAGCCCACATGGCACCGAATATGGCGGACCAGGAAAGCTCCTCCCCGGAGGCGAGGCGCCGACTGACCTCGTAGAGCCCAACGGCTGCGAACGGACCGATGAGGACGAAGCCGGCCGCTGCGGGGTATGCCAGATAGCTCATGTTGAGCGCCGCGGCACTCAGGATGACAAACAGCCCGCCGGCGGCAAAAAGGGCGCCGATGGCCAATCCGTAGACTGGAGCCTTCCGGAAATCCATCAAGCCGGCTGCCAGTGCATCGATGACGTCGTTGGCGGTGATCCTGTTGACCTGCGGCATCGGGCGAAGGGTGTCATTTGCTTTTGACGCGGATGTCTCGGGCGCAGCCTCAGTCCTGACGCCGGTTTCGCTTGGTGCCGTTGTCTTCTCGTTCATATGGCAGCTTCCTCCCAAAAGCCGATCGCAAAAATCTGCACTCCGGCAGACACGCAATCTTAGGCATGGAAGCTGTTCCCGCTCAATGAGGAGAAAGGCTTACGTTTCCCTGTTTTCGCCCATTGCGCTATCCCGCCGCAGGCTTCTTGTCTTCGGCCGCGGACGCTGCCGCCGCTGCTGACGCAAGCGCTTCCTTCTGTTTCTCGTCCAGATTGGCGTTTTCGGGTAGCTGCACGCGGACTTCCTTGCGGGCAAACTGAATGTCGTTTTCCTCGAAGGTTTTTTGAACGCGCTTGTAGATTTCCTTGCGCACGCCGAACTGCTTGCCAGGCTTGGTGGTAAACTTCCCGCGCACCACGATGCCGACATCGTCGACGTCCGCCACGCCCTGGCCCTTGAACGGTGCCAGCAGGTCGTCCTTGAACTCCTCCATTTCCATTATTTCCTGGCCGATCTTCTTGAAAAGCTTGCGGACCTTCTCGACATCCGTATCGAATGGAACCGTGAATTTCAGCTTCATGATCACCCAGTCGCGGGAAAGGTTGGTGAGTTTGGGGATCTGGCCGTAGGGCACGATATGAACGGCACCTTTCGTGCCGCGCAATTGCAGTGACCGGATCGAAATTTTCTCGATCGTGCCCTGTGTGCCGCCGGTATCGATGAACTCTCCCAGCCTGAAGGCATCATCCATCAGGAAGAACACGCCGGAAACGACGTCCTGAACCAGGGTCTGGGCACCAAAGCCGATTGCCAGGCCAATGACGCCGGCACCGGCCAGCAGCGGCGTGATGTTGATGCCGAGCTGGCTGAGCGCCAAGAGGCCGGTAAGCGTGATGATGGTGACCTGAAGGACGACACGCATCAGAGGCAGTATGGTGGCAAGACGCGACTTGCCGGCCCCGCCCATTTCCGCGTCGTCGTCCTGCGTCTCGGCGGGCGGCGAATCTTTCGCCAGCTGGTGCGCAACCCAGAGGTTGGTGACTTCCCAGGCCAGGTAACCTGCGGCCAGGATCAGGAGAAAGATAACGCTGTTACGCGCAACTGCCGAGCCGTCATCGCCGCCAAGGGCGAGGAGGTTCAGCCCGTAAATCCGTCCGACAACCAGGATCAGAAAGGCAAGCAGAGCGACGCGTGCGATGCGGACATAGCTGTGCCGTGTCTGAAGATGGGCAGCTTCAGCAACAGGACCGTCACCCTGCATGGGCGGCACGATGTGCGAAACGATGCCGCGCACCATCGTGTCGAGAAACGGTGCAAAGACCACGAGGACGATGACGGCGAGAGAACGTCCGGCGGTCAGCGCTTCGACCCCCATGCTTGCGGTAAACTGCACCAGCAGCCAGTTGAATGCGATAAAGGCCATTGAGAAGTAGGGCCAGAACCGGGCCATGCGCTCAAGGCCGGACGTCGGATCTTCGTCGTCGCCCAGTATGATGCTGGTCAATCCGTGCCGCGCCTTCCAGATAACCGCGATAATCCAGGCATTCACGCCGAAGCCGACGAAGAAACGGAACGTTCCGCCGGCTTCCGCTCCCGCGCCCTCCATGACGTTCCGCAGGAAGAAGGCCACGCCGACCACCGCAAACAGGGTTGTGAAATTGTGATAAAGCGACCTGGCGGTCGGATCATCCGCTGTAACAAGGCGAAGTTCACTACGGTTTGGTGCAAGTGCAAAGCGGAGGAGGGCGGCGATCAGCCGGGGCATGAAGACGATCCAGAAGACGGCTTGCAGGGCAAAGAACCGCGTGACCGGATCGAAAATGGCAATGCGTCCCACAATCAGCGCGACAAGGGCAAAAATCAGCAGCCCACCAAGATCGAGCCCCGCACGCGTGGAGACCAGTTTGACCGTCTCAAACAGGTTTTCAGGGGATTTGTTCTGGATCGTGTCGCGTTTGGCAGCTGTCAATCGGTTGACCAGAAATTCCGCTGCAAAGCCTGCTGCCAGAATGATGGCGATTGCGCCGATCAGTATGTGGATAGGACCGGCGACGGTGCCCGACACGAGAGCCCCGATACTTGAAATCATACCGGAAAACAGATCAGGAAGGTCCTGAAAGTGCCCGATGACCATGGTGCTGAAATTCGAGAACGCCGTTTGCATCTGCTGAAGCAGTCCCGGGCCGTCGGAAGCGACGTTTTCGGTACGACCATTGGCTGCGGCGCTTTGCTGCAGCAGCGTCATCAGGTCTGTCAGCGCTTCAACCTGCTCCGGATCAAGGTCGGAAACGAGCTTTTCCATTGCTTCGGACTGAAGCGCCGGCGGCAGCTCGGACGAGGTTTCCTGGGCCAATCCGGTTGAAGGAGAGAAAGCGGCGATGGAGAAAAAAACGCTGATTGCACAGGCGAGTAGAATTTTTTGACAAGCACCGGTCATGATCGGGCCCCCGACGGTGTTGGTTCGTATTACCTCAAATTAGACATGCTTGCCGTGCAAAATCCATAAATATTCCGCCGCGTTATTTTCAGAGTGTGGAAACTTTTTGCCATGCAACTTTGGATCTTCGGCAAAATAGGCGGAATTCAAAGGGACAACGGTGCTTGATCCGAACCGCTTATGCGTCTACCTCCATGCCAGAACAATTATTGTGAGCGGGATTGAATGAACACACCCCCACCTAGTGCCAATATTGCGCCCGGGCCGGTCTGGGCTTTGCTGAGTCCCATCGGTCGCCTGAGCCGGGAGCCCTATTGGCTGAGTTTTGCCTTTGTTCTGGTGATTATCGGAATCCCCGTCAAAATCTGGCTGGCTTCCCTGATGGAATTTCAGGCAAATGAAAACCTGACGCTGGAAACCCTGCCGATCAACGACTTTATGGCGTCCAATCCACTATTGCCGATTCTTTATCTGGTTTTGAATTGGGTACATCTGGCCCTGGTTATCAAAAGACTTCAGGATGTCGGGCTGAGCGGGTTCCTGGCGCTATTGATTTTTGTCCCTGTTGTGAGTTTGCTTCTTGTGATCATTCTGGGATTCGTTCCCAGCCAGGCGAAGCCAAACCGCAGCGGACCGCTGCCGAACAGCTACTGGCGCAAAAGCTGAAACGTATCAAAATCGTCAGACTCTTCCAATCTGGAACCTTGCCTGCCATGCCGTCAAATGCCGTTTCCATCACCCAGGACCTCATTCGATGCCCGTCCGTCACGCCAGTCGAGGGCGGAGCGCTCGCAACGCTTGAAAAACTGCTCGGCGATGCAGGCTTTGCAGTTTCCCGGGTGACGTTCCGCGATGAGGACACGCCGGATGTTGAAAATCTGTTCGCAACGATCGGGTCCGGAAAACCGCATTTCGTTTTTGCCGGTCATACCGACGTCGTTCCGGCTGGCGCGGCAAGCGACTGGAGCCAGGGTCCGTTCGACGGCAACATCAAGGATGGTGTCCTTTACGGACGCGGCGCGGTCGACATGAAGGGCGGCGTTGCGGCCTTTGCCGCAGCAGCACTCGACTTTGTCGAGGAATTTAGTGCCGGATTTGGCGGGACGATTTCGTTCCTGATCACCGGGGACGAAGAAGGACCCGCCGTGAATGGTACCGTCAAGCTGCTTGAATGGGCCGCGGGTCAGGGCCACACGTTTGATGCCTGCATCGTTGGCGAACCCACGAACCCCGAAAAGCTCGGCGACGCGATCAAGGTTGGTCGCCGGGGATCCCTGTCAGGAATTGTTACGGTCTCGGGCATCCAGGGACATGCCGCCTATCCGCATCTTGCCGATAATCCGATACCCGGGCTCACAAGGCTGCTTGCCGCACTTGACGCGTTGGAACTCGATCTCGGCAATGAGCGATTTCAGCCCTCCAACCTTGAAATCGTCAACCTGGACGTCGGCAATTCGGCATTCAATGTCATACCGGCCAGAGCCGAAGCCCGCTTCAATATCCGCTTCAATGACGAATGGTCGCTGGAAAGCCTCAAATCGAAGATACTTGAGACACTCCAGGCGGTGAACCTGGGCGATCTGGAGCTGGATGTCGCATTCAAGCGCGATGCCAGTGAATCCTTCCTGACGAAGGATGACAAACTGATCGAAACCCTGGGCAGTGCAGTAAAGGCAGAGACCGGGCGCAGCCCCGAACTCTCGACCGGAGGCGGTACCTCTGATGCACGGTTTATTAAGAACTATTGCCCAGTCGTTGAATTCGGGCTGGTCGGACAGACCATGCACAAGGTTGATGAATGCGTGAGTATTGAGGACCTTGACCGGCTGGCGACAATCTATAAACGATTCCTCGTCAGTTATTTTGCCAAGGACTCGGGAGCAGGTTGAACTTGATCGGCATGAATGAAATCCGGGCAGCGCTGGACGGGTCCTGGCTTCTTTTGCGCAACAGGCCCGAAGGCATGGCGTTTTTCGACCAGTCGCTCCAGGGGTTCTGGCGCTCGTTTCAGGTCGTGTTTCTGCTGATACCGGTCTTTCTGCTCAGTGGGCAGATTGAAAAACAGGGTTATTTCTCCGAAAACGTATATCACCCCGAAGCGTTTCCGGACGGTGCCTACTGGACGGCACAACTCCTGGGTCTGGGAGTTGACTGGATCGCATTGCCAATTATCCTGGCTGCCCTCGCGGCGCCTATCGGCATCTCAAATCGCTATGTACCGTTCATTGTCGCGCGCAACTGGACAAGTTTGCTCGCTTCCGTACCGTTCTTGATCACCTACAGCCTGTTTATGCTCGGAATCATACCGCTCGGCATCATGGTTCTTCTGTCGCTGACAAGCCTGGTGGTGGTTCTTTGGTACCGTTTTCTGGTCGCGCGCATCGCTTTGCAGGCCACAATCAGTCTTGCTGTTGGAATTGTGATTCTGGATTTCCTGCTTTCGCTTGTAATCGCGCAAATCGTTACAATTTTTTGGCAGGTATAGTCCCCCGTTCCCTTCAGGGAACGGGAGAACAGTGATCTTCACAGGGTTCAGTCGCGCAGCAACTCGTTGATCGCGGTCTTTGATCTTGTCTTCTCATCGACGGTTTTCACGATCACGGCGCAGTAGAGGTTCGGCGCCGCCTCGCCATTGCCCATCAGGCTGGAAGTCGGCATGGACCCGGCAACGACAACGGAATAGGGCGGTACTTCACCGTAGCTGATTTCACCGGTCATGCGGTTCACGATACGCGTCGATTTGCCGATAAAGACACCCATGCCCAGCACGGCCCCTTCGCGCACGATACAGCCTTCCACGACTTCCGAGCGCGCACCGATGAAGCAGTTGTCCTCGATGATCACGGGACCCGCCTGCAAGGGTTCCAGCACGCCGCCGATGCCGACGCCGCCGGACAGGTGCACGTTCTTGCCGATCTGGGCGCAGGAACCGACCGTTGCCCAGGTGTCGACCATCGTGCCTTCGTCCACATACGCGCCGAGATTAACGAAGGACGGCATCAGCACCACACCCTTGCCGATGAAGGCCGAGCGCCGGACGGTACAGTTCGGCACGGCGCGGAAACCGGCATTTTCAAAATCCGGACCGCTCCAGCTGTCGAATTTGGACGAAACCTTGTCCCACCAGACGGCTTCTCCCGGTCCGCCCTTGATCACCTCCATGGGGTTCAGCCGGAACGACAGGAGTACCGCCTTCTTGGCCCATTGGTTGACGACCCAGTCACCGTCATTCTTCTCGGCAACGCGCAGTTCCCCGCGATCGAGAAGGTTCAGCGTGGTTTCCACGGCATCCCGGACTTCACCGGTGGTGGAGGTTTCGATGGAAGCGCGGTCTTCAAAAGCCGCGTCGATAATCTGGGACAGGGCGGCAAGATCATGGGGCATATGACAGAGGTCTCCGGGCGTTAACAATTCGTGCGCGGACCTAAGCCGCCGGACCAAGACCTGTCAAGCGCTGGGGGGAAGCCATGTGTTCCAGGGACGACATTGCGGAGCCTGGAAGGTCCCGGAAGACGACTGAACACTGTTGGTACAATGATCTTGTGGCCCCGCTTCGAGCCGGGGCATGCCGCATCCACCTGCAAGGGTAGAAGCAGCAGTTGATTGCCCTCCGGCTGCAACGGGTCTGATGGTCGTGATGCTGTCGTGACCGACACCTTTGTGTTTGCGCCGGCCGTAGATATCGGATCCCCGCATTGGCACTTCAAATCGGGATGAAAATCCGGGATCGCAATCGATCCTGAGACGAACTTCCGGTCGGGATACGTGATATTGAATTGAGATAAAATAACTTATCTCTTCTGTTTTTCGCTAGTTTCTAATGAAATCGACCGGCTTAGGATGATCTGAAATCAACTGAGGGAAAAGGCGATCATCGTGGAACTCTGGATCCCGATCACAATTTTCGCGGCGTTCTGCCAGAACCTGCGAACGGCGATGCAAAAGCATCTGAAGGGCAGGCTTGGCAACACCGGCGCGACATTTGTCCGCTTCGGATATGGCGTTCCATTCGCGCTTCTTTATGCTGCGGTCCTGTATTTCGTGTTCGACAATCCATTGCCCCGGCCGGGAGCAACACTGCTGATTGCCGGAGCCCTCGGCGGCCTTGCCCAGATCTTGGCGACCTTTCTGCTGATCTACCTGTTTTCTTTCCGCAATTTTGCAGTCGGTACTGCATACTCCAAAACCGAACCCATCCAGGCGGCCCTTTTCGGACTGGTGGTGCTTGGTGAGCACGTGACGTGGACCGCGGCTCTCTGCATCATGGTCGGCATTGCAGGCGTGATAACGATCTCGCTGGCACGTGTTCCGATGACGATTTCGGCGGTCCGAAACTCCCTGCTCGGCCGTCCGGCCCTGATCGGGCTGGCATCCGCCGCCCTGTTCGGTGCATCAGCGGTGGCCTACAGGACAGCATCCCTGTCACTGGAGGGGACGACCGTCGCAATGCAGGCTGCGACCGCGCTGGTTTACGCCACCATGTTTCAAACGCTTGCGATGACTATCTGGATGGCTGTCCGCGAACCGGACGAGTTGCGCGAAAGCCTGAAGGCCTGGCGTGCCGCGATCTGGGTCGGCGCTTCGGGTGTCGCCGGTTCCATCGGCTGGTTCACGGCCATGACCCTTCAAAATGTCGCCTATGTCCGGGCGCTCGCGCAGATAGAACTGGTCTTCACCTTCCTGGCCTCCTGGCTGGTGTTCAAGGAAGTGATCGCGCGTTCGGAGATCTTTGGCTGCGTCCTGATTGTCGCGGCAGTCGTCGGGATTATCCTGGTGGGCTAGAGTATTCGTTTTGATCAAGCTGGATTTGGTTTCCATTTCAATCCTGCTTGATGAGGAAATGGGTCAACCCACCTTCAGAACGATCTTTCCGACATGACCTTTTTCACCGAAGGCCTTTTGCGCGGCGCCGATGTCTCGCAGCGGATAGGTTTCCGCGACAAGTGGCTTGATTTCGTCGCTTTCGATCCTCTTCACCAGATTTCCGAACACCTGCGGTTCGAGGACAGTGCAGCCGAAGAAGCTCAGATCCTTCAGATACACCGTTCGAACATCCAGCTCGACGATCGGGCCTCCAATGGCACCTGCAACTGCATATCGACCACCAGGCTTCATGACATCCAGAAGGGACGGCCATTTGTCGCCCGCAACGAGATCGATCACTACGTCCACTGAATTGACACCGAGCGTTTCGGCGTAGTCGGCATCGCGGTTCAGCGTCCGCTCTGCGCCAAGTTGTTGCAGGGTCTTGGCTTTCGAAGGGCTTGTGACGGCGATGACGCTCGCTCCGCGCGCACGTGCAAGCTGTATGGTTGCCGAGCCAACGCCTCCGGAGCCTCCGGTGACAAGGACCGTGTCGCCAGCTTTTACCCGCGTCCGCTCTAGCATGTTTTCTGCTGTTGAGTAGGAGCAGGGGAAAGAAGCCAGTTCTGCATCGGACAGGCCACAGTCAATCGCATGGGCGTGCCGCCCCGCAACCTTCGTGAATTCTGCAAAGCCACCATTGCACTCAGATCCGAAGTACCATGGCGAGGCAAGCATCTTTCCGTCCGCTTCAACCAGACACGGTTCAATCAGGACACGGTCGCCGATCCGCGACGGGTCGATACCCTTACCAACGGCGACGATGGTCCCGCATGCATCAGCCCCCTGGATGAGCGGAAGCTTCAGCGCCACCCCCGTCCAGGCCGCGTCCTCCGCATCATTGTCACCCTTCGAATACCAGCCGATACGGGTGTTGATATCCGTATTGTTGACGCCTGCCGCACTGACCTTGACGAGAACGTCTCCCGGCCCAGGTGTTGGCACGATCAGATCGTCGCGCCACTCGAGTACTTCGGGACCGCCATGGCCGGTAAGAACGACTCCGCTCATTTTGTCAGGAAGTGTCATGGGCCTGCTCCGGTAGAATGAATGTTCTACTTGCTCAGGTAGAGGATTTGCTCTACCTCGTCAAGCATGCCTGACACAAAAACCAGAATTGCCGCAGGACTGGAACGGGCCTTTGCGGAAAACGGGTTCGCGGAACCGAACATCGACAGCCTGCGCGAGGCAGCGGGCGTCAGTCTCAGAACGCTGTACAAGTACATGCCCTCGCGTGAGGAAATGGTCCTGAGCGCGCTGGAGCACCGTCATCAGCGCTATATGCAGTTTGTCTTCGCCAAGCTGCCATCGGACGAAAAGCCTGTTCTGCATATGCTGTTTGAAAGAGTTTCAGAGTGGATGTCGACAGAGGCAGCGCATGGATGCCTGTTTCATGCCGCCGTCGCTGCGGCCCCGAGGGACGCGAGGCTTCGCAGCCTTCTGGCAAGGCACAAAACGGACGTTGCACATGAAGTTGCCGCGTTGTCGGGCCTGCCGGATCGGCAGGGCGAGATTACGCTGATCGTTGAAGGTCTGATGCAGGACTGGCCGCTGCATCGCGGCAAGGCAACCGAATGCGCGATACATCTGGGCGATCTGTTGTTGAAAGAAAACTGAGCCACGTTTCCGGCAACCCTTGCAGGAAGACGATGATTTGGAATACCTGACAAACCCGCCATGCAACTGACGACGGGTTTGCACACAATTGGTTCTTTTCTTCGAGTGCTCAGGGTTCGATGAAATTCCGAATGGCATCGGTGTATTCGTCGGCGGCCTGGAACGAAGCAAAATGACTGACATCCTCAAGGACCAGGAAATCTGCGCTCGGCATGATCTCGGCAATCATCTTCGCGTGGTCCATCAGGATGGCTTCGTCAAATTCGCTTTGCACCACAAGCGTCGGGACCGTTACGGACTTGAGAGCGTCGGGTCCACCCGGTTTTGAAGATCCCCACATTTTGGCAACAGCACCCAAAAAATTCTCGAACCCGTCCGGGGTCGGTGACATTTCGGCATAGTCACCCGCCATCATTCCAACATAGGTTCCGAAGACCTCGTTTGTCTCGACAGACGGATCGACACCATCAAGCGTGATGTTGCCGGCATGGGCGAAATGGCTCGCAAGGCGCTCAGGATTTGTCTGCGAAATCGAATATCCGATATTCGCCCCATCCGACCAGCCGACCAGATGTACGCGATCAACACCGATCTGGTCGAGCAGCGCCAGGTAGTCCGCAGCCAGGCGGGCGTAGGTATACTCGCTGCCGTCGTTTGTCGAGCGCCCGTGACCGCGGGTATCGGCAACAATCACCGTGTGGTCCTGCATGAGGTCGGCGACCTGGGCTGCCCATATATCGCCATGGGCCAGACCACCGTGGATCAGCAGGATCGGTGTGCCGTCGGCATCCCCGTAAATCGCATGATACATGTCGATGCCGTTGACATTCACCGTTCCGCTTGATGCGGCTTCCGGCATAGGCGGGGCCGGCGGGATCGAAATCCAGCGATCTTCGGCCTGCGCTGGAATTGTCAGGAAAAGCACAAATGCAGCGATGAGATATTTGATCATGCTACCCTCCCGGTGTGACTGGTTTTCAGGTCTTCTGACCGGATCAAGCGTAATCCACGGAAGGCTCTGAGTGGTAGGTCTTCAGCGCAAGGGAGGTGCGACTGTTCGTCATGAAAAGCACAGTAATTTCAGAGCGTTGGTTTCCCAGATATGGCTTTGGCGCAGAATGCGGCTTCCTCGCCGACAACATGTTTTGCGACTACGACCAGCAGGCGGAACAGCTCACGGGTCACGAACAGTCTTACCTCCAGCTGACGTCCGGCGCCTTCCGTGGCAGGTTCCTGTCCCTGTTTCTCGGACCTGACGCAGCTGTCCATATGGAATTTTGCAACCAGGGTCTGGAACAGGAGGTCATCGGCGCGAGCGACCACATTTCCTTCGGTGTCGTGCTGAATGCTCCAGCTCCCTTTGTCGTCATGGGGCAGCAGATGAGCGACGCGGATGTATTTGTATTACCCCCGTTGGGGCACCTGCATCTGGTCAGCCCAGTCAATGGGTCGGTGATGGCGGTTGCGATCCGGAAAACCACGCTTTTGAAGCAGAATGTCCTGCCTCCTGCGCTGGCTGACTGGCTTGAGCACTTGTCGGGCAAACCACGTCTTCTGAAAGCTCCGGGTTTGGCGGCACGGCTGCGCGAAGACGCGATATCGGCGATGGAATGTGCCATCGAGCCCGAAACGCGAAATTCGGACAGAGTTGCCGGCCGTGCCCTGATTGCCAGTGTCGCATCGAAACTCTCGCTGGATGTGTCCATGGCTCGATTGGCCAGTTCCGCTGAAGACCGGGTATTTGAACGTTTCCTGTAGTGCAGGACGTCGTTGAAATCGCGATCATCGCTGTCAATGAGTGCCAATGAGCTGGCACAATTCACCAATGTATCGAAACGATCGGTCCAGCAGGCGTTCTCCTCACATGTGGCGATGGGACCGCTTGCCTATCTTCGCCTCTTGAAGCTGCACGATGTCCGGCGCAAATTGACTGACAGGCGCTTTTGTCGTCACTCAATCGGAGACATTGCGGCACTCCATGGTTTTTGGGACGGGAGCCGGTTTGCGCGTCAGTACCGTTCTCATTTTGGTGAGCTGCCATCCGCAACACGCAGCGCGGCCATGGCAGAAGAACAGTCGCCAGTTCGCTAGGCTCGGGCTGCGCCCTGCAGCCATTCCCTGAACGTTGCAACCGGCCGGGTCAGGGTTCTCGCAGGAGATCTGACGAACCAGTAGCCTGTTTCCAGTTCCAGAACCGGCCAGTCGGGCGAAATCAAATGACCGGCGTCGAGTTCCTGGGAGATGAAGCGGCGGTCGATCGCGATGGTGCCCATGCCCGCGATCGCAGCCTGAATCGCGAGATCGCGGCTCTGAAGGACTGTGCCCGAGTGAACATCGGGATGTGAAATTCCAGCCTCTTCCAGCCATTCGGTCCAGTCGTTTCGCCGCGCGGAACTGTGCAGCAGCGGAAGGTCCAACAGTACCAGAGGGTCCGACGGATCCTTTCCGCTCAGGAGACTTGGAGCCATGGCAACGGCTAGATGTTCATTCCAGAGCAGGTGGCTTTCGACATTTGACCAGTTGCCCGTGCCGAGCCGGATCGCACAATCGTAGTTTTCCCGGTCGAGATCGACCATGCGTGTGGAGGCGGACAAGAGCAGTTCCACGTCGGGTTGTTCAGCCTGAAAATCGGGTAGGCGGGGAATCAGCCAGCGTGTTGCAAAGGTGGAGACTGTGCTGATCCGCAATTCTGTCCGTCCGCGCCGTTTGAAGCTGTCGACGGCTTCCTCTATCCGGTCGAAGGCATCCCCCAGACTGAGAGCCAGCCGCTGACCCTCGTCGGTCAGTGTCAGACCGCGGCCGTCACGGTTGACCAGTGTTGCTCCCAGTTCGCTCTCGAGCTTGCGCATGAGGTGGGAAAGGGCCGACGGCGAGACCCCGAGTTTTTCGGCTGCAATCGACGCGCGGCCATGACGGGCCAGCAGGGAAAAGGCATGAAGGGCGCGCAGGGAAGCCATTTGAGGTCACGTTCCACGAGTTGAGTTTTACTCAATCTAGAGGAGTTTCTTGGAAATAAGAATACTCTCGGTGAAAACGGCATTTGGCCGCCGCTTCCATCTCAATCCAATATCGGTAAATCCGGACGATAGATCCTGCCGGTAAATCCTGTGGGTGCAGCCAATGATTTGTGTTGACCACCCACAAGACTGGCGAATGGCCTTCCCCTGGGTTGAAACCTCGATAGCCGAGCGCCAGAAAAGGGCTGAGGACCGCGACGCTTGACCTTTGGCAAGCTCACCAGATTCGCATCATCATCTTGAGAAGTCATACGCGCAGTCCACCATTACGGCAGCGCGTTTCGTCTCAAAGAGCATTCCATGCCTGTGAATTTGACTGCATTTTCGTGGGCCCGGGCACTTTAGCTCAGTGCACCCAAGACAGCCCTCAGGAAGCCTGTCAGGTCTTCGGTGACAAAATCGACATGAGGGTAGGGATCGCCTTCGAGATCCCAGCTTTCCTGGAAGACGTCCCTTGAGCCCTTCGGAACAATAAGGGCCGTGCGCATGCCAAGTTGATGGGGAACGCTCAGGTTCTTGGAAAGATCTTCGAACATGGCTGCCCGGGCGGGGGAAATTCCGGTGAGGTCAATGAACTTGTCATAGGTCTCACGATTGGGCTTTGGCACGAGATCAGCGGAGACGATATCGAAAATGTCTTCGAAATTGTCGGATATGCCCAGGGCCGCAGCGGTCCGTTCCGCATGCGGCCGGTCGCCATTCGTGAAGATGAACTTCTTGCCGGGAAGCGCGTCGATTGCTGCGCTCAGGTCGGGGTTGGGTTCAAGGCCGGAATAATCGATGTCGTGAACGAACGCGAGATAGTCGTCAGGATCGATTTTCTGCGTTGTCATCAAGCCACGCAGGGTTGTTCCATGTTCGTGATAGAGCGCCTTCTGGTGCACCATTGCTTCGGACCGGTTCAGGTCCAGGACCTTTTGCACATATAGCGCGATCTGTTCGTCTATCTGGGAAAAGAGATCCGCCTCGTGAGGGTAGAGTGTGTTGTCCAGATCGAAAACCCAGGCTTCGACACCCTTGAAGACCCTGAGGTCCTGGCGATGTGCGTGTTGGCCCTCCAGGGGCAAAATGCGTTTACCGGTCACGGGCGGATCAACGTCCCTGCGCCGCCATCGGTGAACAGTTCAAGCAGGACGGCGTGGGGAACCTTGCCGTTCAGGATAACGACACCTTCCACGCCCTTGTCGAGTGCCCCGATGCAGGTTTCGACCTTGGGGATCATCCCGCCGGAAATGGTACCGTCTTTCATCAGTTCGCGTGCCTTGGCAACGCTGAGCTGCTTGATCAGATTACCGTCCTTGTCGAGAACGCCGGGAACATCCGTGAGGAACAGCAGGCGCTTGGCATTGAGCGACCCGGCGATCGCACCTGCCGCGGTATCCGCGTTGATGTTGTAGGTCTCTCCGTCCTCGCCATGCGCAACCGGGGCAACGACCGGTATGATAGCTTCCTTGAGAACCAGCCGGAGCACTGTCGGGTCGACGCTGGCAGGCTCGCCGACGAAGCCGAGATCGACAACGCTTTCGATGTTGCTGTCCGGGTCGACGACGGTGCGGTTGAGTTTTCGGGCAGTGACCAGATTGCCGTCCTTGCCGCACAGGCCGACGGCCCGGCCGCCTTCGGCATTGATCATCTGGACGATTTCCTTGTTGATCGACCCGGCAAGAACCATCTCCACGACTTCGACCGTGGCCTTGTCGGTCACGCGGAGACCGGCCTTGAATTCACTGACGATGTTGAGCCGTTGCAGCATCTTTCCGATCTGCGGCCCGCCGCCGTGCACCACGACCGGATTGACACCCGACTGACGCAGCAGCGTGATGTCGCGTGCGAAGGCCTGGCCAAGTGAAGGATCGCCCATCGCATGACCGCCGTACTTCACCACCACGGTCCTGTCGTCGTAGCGCTGCATGTAAGGCAGGGCTTGCGCGATAATATGGGCGCGGCTGGCCATGTCGGGATTGGTCATCAAAGCTTTTTACTCAACTGGAATTGATCTCTTGCAGAAGAACCCTGCTATAACCGGTTTGCCGTTTCTTCACAATTCTCGGAACTGTCGGCGGCCTTCAAAGATTACTGATTGGCCAGAAGACAGAGTTCGGCTCTCAATTCGTCGATACCCAGGTTCTTTTCGGAGGATGTTGCGACGATCAGCGGGTGTGCTGCGATACGTTTTGCAAGCAATGCCTGCGTATCGGAAATGAGCCGGGCAAGTTGGGTCGGCTTGATCTTGTCGGACTTGGTCAGCACCACCTGATAGACGACGGCAGCCTTGTCCAGAAGGTCCATTGCCTCAAGGTCGTTTTTCTTGATGCCGTGCCGGCTGTCGATCAAGAGGATGACCCGGCGCAGGTTCGGGCGGCCGCGCAGGTAGGAGAAGACGAGTTGCGTCCACGCTTCGACCAGCTCTTTCGGCGCCTGGGCATAGCCGTAGCCCGGCATGTCAACGATTGTCAGGGGCGTGTCCGGTGCGATGAAGAAGTTCAGCATCTGTGTCCGGCCCGGTGTCGATGACGTGCGGGCCAGACCCTTGCGCCCGGTCAGGGCGTTGATCAGGCTGGACTTGCCCACGTTGGAGCGCCCGGCAAAGGCGATCTCGGTGCCGGCCGCATCCGGAAGGTTGGACATATCGGTGACACTGGTCAGAAAATCCCAGGCGCGGGCAAACATCAGCCGGCCCGCTTCCAAGTCTTCCTGAGTATAGGTTTGTTCGTCGTTCATGAAGCGCTTTTAGCTTGCCTTTTCGTTCACGTCGAGGTTGCTGTCGTGATTGGCGGCCGCTCTCTCAAGAACGCCGGCGTCGGCCCCCCAGATTGCGGAAAGATGGCGTGTGATCTTTTCGATCGGCCAGTCCCACCACGCAACGTCCAGGAGACGGTCGATTGTCTGCTCGTCGAAGCGCAGTCGCACAACCCGTCCCGGGTTGCCGACCACGACCGCGTAGGGTGGCACGTCCGAAGCGACAACGGCGTGGGCGCCTATGATGGCGCCGGAGCAGATGGTGACCCCGGGCATGACGGTCGAGTTGGTTCCGAACCACACATCATTGCCAACAATCGTGTCGCCGCGCAGATGGTCGAAGATCGTTGCCGGGTCAAATTGTTCCGCCCAGCCCTTGTCGAAGATATGAAAGGGATAGGTCGAAATCCCGGTCATCGCATGATTGGCGCCGCTCATGATGAAACTGGTGCCTGCCGCCAAGGCGCAGAACTTGCCGATTTTCAAGCGGTCGCCAATGTTGTCAAAATGATAGCGCACGTTCCGGTTTTCAAAGTCCGAGGCGTTTTCGAAGTCATGGTAGTAGGTGTAGTCACCCACTTCGATCGTTGGCCTTGAGATGACGTTTTTCAGGAAAACCGTATGAGGTTCGCCGTTGAATGGATGAAGTGTGTCGGGTGAGGGGCCGTGCATGGGACCTCCAATATGCAAGAATCAAGGGAAGAAATGTGAGCGCATGTTGCGCGATCGACCTGCCGGTCGGCGGCTTCGCCTTGCTGAACAGGTCTTGCTTTATCGGATCATTGGTCTGCACTCTCCATGACTTGCTGCAATAAAAAGGCCCCGCCTGTGGGCGAGGCCTTGCTGTCTATCAGGTCTTTTCAGGCTTGTCAGCCCTTGTCGTCCGAGGCCGGTTTCTTTCGCTTGAACATGGACCCTATATTGTCCCAGAGTTCCACCTTGGCTCCCTGACGGCGCATGATCACGTATTGCTGCGTAATCGACAGCGTGTTGTTCCAGGCCCAGTAAATCACAAGTCCTGCCGGGAACGATGCCAGCATGAAGGTGAAGACAACGGGCATCCAGGTGAAGATCATTTGCTGGGTGGGATCAGGCGGTGCCGGGTTCATTTTCATCTGAACGAACATGGAGATACCCATGACCAGCGGCCAGACGCCCAGCATCAGCAATTGCGGGGGATCCCAGGGGATCAGGCCGAAGAGATTGAAGAGCGAGGTCGGGTCGGGCGCGGACAGATCCTGAATCCAGCCGAAGAAGGGCGCGTGACGCATTTCGATGGTGACGAACAGAACCTTGTAGAGCGCAAAGAAGACCGGGATCTGTATCAGGATCGGCAGGCAGCCGGCCAGCGGATTGATCTTTTCCTTCTTGTAGAGCTCCATCAGCGCCTGTTGCTGTTTCTGTCGGTCATCGGAGTATTTCTCGCGGATTTCCGTCATCTGCGGCTGCGCAAGTTTCATCTTGCTCATGGAGACGTAGGACTTGTTGGCCAGCGGGAAGAAGATCAGCTTGATGATGACGGTTACCACCAGAATGGCGACGCCGAAGTTGCCTATCAGATGGAAGAAGTAGTCGATCGCGAAGAACATCGGCTTCGTCAGGAAATAGAACCAGCCCCAATCGATCATCAGTTCGAACCGGTTGAGATTGAGCGATTCCTCGTAGGCATCGATCAGCTTCGTTTCCTTGGCACCGGCGAACAGATATGAGCTGGTCTCCGCCGTGCCACCTGCAGGGACGGCGACACCGGTGCCCAGATAGTCAGCCTGAAAATTTCCTGTCGTCCGGGAGAAACTGAAACTCGGCTGGAACTCCTGGCCGGGGACCGGCATGAGCGTCGCGGCCCAGTACTTGTCGGTTATGCCGAGCCAGCCGTTGTCTACGCTGGCCGGACGGATCGTGCCTTCGTCTTCCAGGTCGGAATAGTCGATTTCCTGAAGGCCTTCCTCGCCGAATACACCCAGGAGGCCTTCGTGAAGGATCCAGATGCCCGTGGTTTCAGGCACGCCTTTCCTGGCTATCAGGCCATAGGGATAAAGCGTGACATCTGCCGAAGACGTGTTTTCGACGGATTGGGCAACTGTGAACAGATAATTCTCGTCGACGGAAAAGGTTCGTTTGAAGGTGAGGCCCGCACCGTTGTTCCAAACAAGGGTCAACGGTGTGGTGGGTGTCAGGGTCGTCTCGCCGTCGACCGACCAGACCGTGTCGGGGCCGGGCAGGGGCACGTTGGCTCCCGGATCGGCAACCCAGCCGTAGTCGGTGTAATAGGGGTTCGGGCTGCCCTTGGGTGAAAACAGGGCGATCGTCGGACTGCTCTTGTCGACGGTCTCGTGGTAGTCCTTCAGGCGCAGGTCATCGAGACGCCCGCCCGAAAGGTTGATCGACCCTTCAAGCCGGGGAGAGTTGATCACGACGCGCTTGTCGGCAGCGACAGCCTGTTCCCGGTTTGCAAACACGGCAGGTCGATCTGCCCCTTGCGCCGGCAAGGCCGCGTTGCTGCCGGGGGCCGCAGAAGGCTGAGGAGCATCCGGATTGGCGCCACCGTTGGCTGCCTGGCGTTCCGCGTCGGCTTGCTGCTGCGTCTGGAGAGCTGCCTGTTGACGCTCCAATTCGGGATTGGCAACGAAATATTGCCAACCCAGCAGAACAATCAGGGACAAAACGATTGCCAGGATCGTGTTTCGGTTTTCAGAAATCAACTGGTGTTACCCCTGTTTCCTGCGCAGTGTCGCTGGAGATGTCCGGTTACTCCGGTGCGGTTTTCCCCGTCCGCGCGGTGTCTCCGGGTCAAGCACTTGGTTAAGGCCAGACTTAAGGTCTGCAACGAGTTTTTGAAAGGGAAGAGTGAGCGCTGAATCGCGAGCGACAAGCACAAAATCCGCTTTTTGCGGAATATCGCCGGTTTTGAGCGCGGCAACGGCAGCCCGCAGCCGCCGTTTGATTCGGCTGCGCACGACGGAATTGCCTGTTTTCTTGGTAACGGTATAGCCCACACGCGGTGCATCATCCGTGTCGCGCGTCAGACCCTGAACGAGAAAAGCGCGCCGACCCAACCGGCCGCCTTTGGCGACCGCCAGGAATTCGGAGCGCTTTTTCAAAGTGTCCATGGCGCCAGATTGGTGTTGGCAGACGCCGCCAACCGACGCACTGCGCGCGGGTTGCCGATCAGGCGCTGAGGCTCTTACGGCCCTTTGCACGCCGGCGAGCAAGCACCTGACGACCGTTTTTGGTTGCCATACGTGCGCGGAATCCGTGGCGGCGCTTGCGGACAAGACGGCTCGGTTGATACGTACGCTTCATTGTTCTTCCCCGCGCGGTTTTGAGCGCGGCCCTTGTTCATTTAAATTCTTTGGAGAAAGCACTCGAAGCGCTGGAAGCGCGCGGCTCAAAACAGCCTTGGGTCCGAATGCATGTCCCGATCGAGCGCGCTTATAAGCGCCGCGCAGCTCCAAGTCAACGTTGCGCTGCAAGAATCTCGGAACGAAATGCAGTTCACGCACAGGTGAATTGGCAACACCTTGGCGTCACTTATCGGTGAAAGACGCTTCTTTTTACCAGCTATAAGGTACATCTGGCTTAAAGAACACCATGGCGGCAACAAGAACCGCCCTGGAAAGACAAGCTGATGGGAATGGACATGCTGGGGGATAAGGCAGACACCATGACTGGGCCGAAGGAAACAGAGCCGGTAGTCGAAACTCCGCTGAAGGCGTCTGTATACGGCAGGATCAAAAAGTGGCTTCCGCTGGCCGTATTGCTTCTGCTGATGATTGCTGCCTTTTCACAGGGGTTGCACCAGCAGCTCACGCTTTCCAACCTCATCATGCAGCGGCAGGATCTGGTCGGATTTGTTCAGCAGAATTTCGTCCTTGCCTCACTGGTGTATCTGGCCGCCTATGTTGTTTGTGTTGCTCTTTCCTTTCCCGGAGCGTCGCTGCTGACAATTGCAGGTGGCTTCCTGTTCGGGTGGATCGCCGGAGGCTTTGTCACCGTGATCGGCGCAACGCTCGGTGCCTGTGCTGTCTTCATCGTTGCCCGGTCCTCTTTCGGGGAAGTCCTGACCCGCCGGGCCGGTCCGTTTCTGTCGCGCCTTGCCGAAGGATTTCGCCGGGAAGGTTTCAGCTACCTTCTGTTTCTGCGCCTGACCCCCGTCTTTCCCTTCTGGCTCGTCAACATCGCACCTGCCATCTTCCAGATGCGCCTGCCGACATATGCTCTGGCAACATTCATCGGCATTATTCCCGGGACGTTTGCCTTTGCCTTCATCGGCTCGGGTCTCGACAGCGTTATCGAAGCCCAGGAGGCGGCCAGCCCCGGATGCGCAGCTGCAGGTACTTGCCAGGTCGATGTGTCCGCCCTCGTGACACCCCAGCTTCTGGCGGCGTTTTTTGCTCTCGGGATCGCCAGTCTGATCCCGGTGGTTCTGAAAAAAGTCCGTGCGCGCTGACGTCATCCTCTAAACTCGATCCAACAATGTTCACCTAATTGAAATGGAGCCCTCCATGACGGAACTGCTGACCCCGGATATTTGTGTTATCGGTGCCGGTTCCGGGGGTCTTTCCGTGTCCGCCGCCGCCGCGGCATTCGGGGTTGATGTGGTTCTGGTGGAAAAGGGCCTGATGGGAGGCGATTGCCTCAATTATGGCTGTGTGCCGTCCAAATCCCTGCTTGCAGCCGCGAAGGCTGCTTCAGGCGTCCGCCGAAACGCCATGTTCGGAATTCATTCCAGCGGTGAGGACATAGACTTCGCCAAGGCGAATGATCATGTGCGCAGCGTCATTGCGGCGATCGAACCGCATGATTCGCAGGAACGCTTCGAAGACCTCGGGGTGACGGTTCTGAGAGAGCCTGCCAAGTTTACCGGAGCCGGCACCGTTTTGGTCGGTGACACGGAAATCAGGGCGCGCAGGTTTGTCGTCGCCACCGGGTCGACGGCCTTCATCCCTCCTGTACCGGGTCTCGATGACGTTCCCTATCTCACCAACGAGACGCTGTTTGAACTGCGCGAGGTTCCCGAGCATCTGGCGATCATAGGCGCGGGGCCGATCGGGCTGGAAATGGCCCAGGCTCATCGCCGCCTGGGTGCCAGGGTGACGGTATTTGAAGCTGCAAGGGCACTTGGAAAGGATGATCAGGAACTTGGTGCTGTCGTTCTGGAAACGCTCAGGAACGAAGGGATCGAAATCCTCGAAGAGACCGCGGTAGAAAAAGTCGCGAAAACAGACGAGGGCACAGCGATCTCGGCAAGAACCTCGGACGGGGCGGTTGTTGAACTGGTTGCCAGCCATTTGCTTGTCGCGACCGGCAGGGCGCCCAATGTCGACGGCTTGGGACTTGACGCTGCCGGGATCGACTACGATCGCAAGGGGATCAGGGTCGACAAGGGACTGCGCACCACAAACCGCAAGGTCTATGCGATCGGCGATGTCGCCGGCGGGCTGCAATTCACCCATGTTGCCGGATACCAGGCCGGGCTGATCATCCGGTCCATCCTCTTCCGCATGCCGATCGCAATGGACGACACGATTGTTCCCTGGGTTACCTTTACATCTCCCGAGCTTGCGCATGTGGGGATGTCGGAGGCCGAGGCCCGGGCCGAATACGGGGCCAGGGTCAAGGTTCTGACGTCAACCTATCTCGGCAATGACAGGGCCCAGGCGGAAGGTCTTACCGCAGGGCGGCTGAAACTGATCGCCGGGCCGCGCGGACGCTTGCTCGGTGCCGACATTGTCGGGGCCCAGGCGGGCGAGATCATCAATCTTCTCTCCCTGGCTCTTTCGCAAAAAATGACCATGAAGGACCTCGCGGGTTTCATCGCCCCTTATCCGACGCTCGGGGAACTGGTGCGACGTGCGGCAATTTCGTACTATGCGGAAGCGCCAAAGAATGTTTGGTTGCGACGGGTTATCGGTATGTTGCGCAAGTTTGGATAAGATATTGCAATTGGTGCTGCGCGGCACGGTTGGCATTTGGGACGATTGGACATGAAGCATGAGGGCGCGCCGGAAGGCGCCGCAGTCCCGACAGACGATACGGGCGGACAATCCGGACCGGGCGATCGGTTTGACCGGCACCGGCTCGGCGGCCTGTCGGGAAAACTCCTGCTGCTGACCGTGTTGTTCGTCATGCTGTCGGAAGTCTTCATCTACGTTCCGTCCATCGCCAACTACCGCAACACCTGGCTCATGGATCGCCTGACGACAGCCGGCGTGGCCGCGTCGGTGCTGGCGGAAACCAGCACGATCGCCCCGCGCCTTCAGGAAGAATTGTTGCAGACGACAGGGGCTGTGGCCATTTCGCTTGATCAGGGTTCCCGGCGAAGCCTGATCGCGATGAACGATGTACCGGGCGAGGTTGATTTCGTCGTCGACATGGCCAATGTGAGCGCCTGGTCGTCGATCATCGGCAGTTTTCAAATTCTGACCTACCGGGGCGACGGCGTGATGCGTGTGGTCGGTGTCGGTCAGATGGGCCACACGGAGCGTGTCGATGTCGTGTTGCCGGTCGAACTCCTGCAGCAGGACATGCTGGCCTTCTCCGGGCGCATTCTTGCCCTGTCTCTGTTCATCTCGGTCATCACCGCGGGGCTTGTCTATATTACCTTGCGCGCCCTTTTCATAAGGCCGCTGCGCCGCCTGACCCGTTCCATGGAGCGATTTGCGGAAAATCCCGAGGATACCTCCCGTATTGTCACGGTGTCGGGCCGCCAGGATGAATTGGGGGATGCTGAAATCCGGCTGGCAGCCATGGAAGAAGCCCTGTCGCGCGCATTGCATCAGAAACAGCGACTTGCCGATCTTGGTCTCGCGGTCTCCAAGATCAACCACGATTTGAGAAACCTGCTGGCGTCCGCGCAACTGTTTCTTGAACGTCTGGAACATGTCCCCGATCCGACGGTCAGCCGTCTTGCACCGAAGATCCTGGCAACGCTCGACAGGGCTGTCGGCTACACCCAGGCGGTGATGTCCTATGGCAAGGCCCAGGAGCGCCCGCCTCAGCGGCGCCTGCTGGCGCTCCAGCGGGTCGGCGACGATGTTGCCGATGTACTTGGACTTGTCGATCACGAGACGGTGGCTTTCGAAAACAGGGTTCCGGACCACATCGAGATTGATGCCGATCCTGAACAGATCTTTCGGGTCCTGCTCAATCTCGTCCGCAATGCCCTTCAGGCGCTCGAAGCCGAAAAGGACGAGACGCTGGTGCGCCGGATTTCCATGGATGCGATGCGCGAGGGCGATTGCGTTCATGTCATGATTTCCGACACCGGTCCCGGGATCCCCGGCAATATCAGAAAGGCGTTGTTCAAGGCCTTTCACAGCGGGTCCAAGAAAGGCGGTGTCGGTCTTGGTCTTGCGATTGTCGCCGAACTCCTGAAAGCCCATGGCGGCAGCATTCACCTGGACGAAAGCAAGCCCGGGGCGTGCTTCCGCCTCAAGGTGCCGGACCGCTCGTCCTGAAAAGGCATTGTTTTGCACATGGTGCCAAGGCAGAAACGAATAAGTCACGAGGATTTCTGCGGCTTTGCGGCTCGTGTGACAATTCACCGAAAAAAAGTTCCGCAAGTCCCTTGCAATCCCTGCCGGACCGCAGTACGTAAGCGCCCTGTCCGGGGCACACAGCGCCCCGCAGAGCCAAGGCGGGCATCCGGTGATTAATCATCAGGATAACCCGATCTTCGCACCCATAAGCACCGGTAGCTCAGCTGGATAGAGCACCAGACTACGAATCTGGGGGTCGGGGGTTCGAATCCTCCCCGGTGCGCCATATTTTCCAATGACTTAGCCTGTGGATAGATTTTGACGAAAGTTGGTGGCGTCCAAGTGGCGTCCAGCTGAAATACAGGCCCATCCAAGCGTTCGATTGTTCACTTTCGACTCAAGTCCACATCGTGTTGTCGTTGGACACATTCCGTCTGGGCGGCCAATATTGCGTATTTATCACATACAGTCACTGCGACCATGGACAGGGCGTCGGTAGCGGAGGAGCGCTACCGTTATAGGGCCC